TTTTTTACTTGGAACCAGAAGGCAAGTAAAAGCACTAAATTCAACAGTTGTCAACATTTTCTAAGATATTTATAGTACTATTTAAAAAAAATTGGATAAAATATAGTACACTTCGAATATATATATATATATATATATATATAGTATTTAATTTAAAACAAAAAGTAAACACGATTTTTAAGTGAAGGAAAAAGTTCTTCCCGTCAATGCCGAAGTTGTTGGAATAGAGGATAGAAACGAAATAATTTTAAGTAAATTTTTTAATTCTTTCTCAGTGTTTTTAAAAATATGTTACTTTTTTTGGTTACAAACTCACAATAACCTTTTACTTTAAAGAATATTTCATTTAATATTTTTATTTTAGTATAAAGATCATCCATTTTAATACACATTTTTCGTGCAAATTACTGAAATATATATATAAATAATATATATTAGTATGGGGATTTTTTATCTTGATAAAAGATTATGTAAAGTGGCTTAAAACAATTATGTTCGTTGCACTGAAGCGCGAATCTGCTTAAAAATTTTTAGAAAACATGTTATTTCACATCCAAGTACATAATCAAAAGTAACACTGGCCTGTGAGGTTTTCCCTTAGAAATGTATTTCATGATTACGATTACAGTAATCTGAGTCCTGAAATTTTTAAGATTACTATTATTATAATTATAATCATAATGGTAACATTTATGATTACAATTAAAGTAATAGTAATCGTATATAATTTAAGGATTACAATTATCCGATCGTAATTAAAATGTAATCGTAATCAAAAATTACCCAGCTCTGTTAAATACATATGTACATTGTTCATAATGGTTTCAATAACTAAAGTTATTTGAAAAAAGTGTGAGATAAAGTTTTGATATAATAAGACAATGACATGATATTTAAACAGAAACTTCACTAATTCTTTAACCGAATTTCCGTCATGCAATGAAATTACAAAAAATGTATGCCATTTTAGAAATGCAATGTGAAAAAAAAAACGGGATGAAACGGGTAGAGTTTAAAGCCCAACAAAGTGGTAAAACTTTTTATTTAATGCCTAGTGAAAACTCAATGTTAGCCCTATTTAAATGAGAAAAAATTTTACGTTTTACTTCAAAACTAACCACTATTTTTAGAAGTGTAATGGAGCCAGTGCTGCCAACTACATATTTTCCAGTAAAAAATCCAGATTTGAATAATTTTAATCAAATTCATTAGAAACACTACTTGAAATTGAAACTGATAATCGAATAATATATAAAATAACTTCGATTTTCGGGTTTTTTTTACGGTATTACTCTTTTTTTTTATATATAGAAGAAAATGCACAACACTGTCAACAAAAAAATTGCTAAAAATCAACGGTAATATGTTTCGGTCTTATAATTATGCAACGCAGTGTACTATTAACTTGTTTGACTTGTGGATAGAGCAACTTTGAATTGCTTTTGCTTTTTTTAATAACGTTAATTTATTCGTTATTTATGTGTTAGAATAAGTATAAAACAAATTTTTTGTGTTTTCAATGTGGAGAATTTGTCCTCCTGGAATGCTAAAAAATTCTGGCCACCTTACCAGTGTTAATTTGTTTCTTATTGTAGATTTATCTACGGACGGCCACCAAGCCGTTATGCCGTAGAACAGAATGGGACGCCCAACCGCTGTGTACATGCAGTTCACAATGTAAGGCCTCAGTAGTATAAATATAGAGGTATAAATAAATTTTAATTACTTATTTATTTTGATAATAAAAATTTTAAACATTAATGTCCGCAATTATATGAACTATAGCTTTGCTGTTGATTATAGTTATAGCTAATGTTTCTTTTCCTAAATCCATATATGCTCCAACGTCAGAAATTCATACTAAGTATGTTCATATACAATAGAAATTCGTAAACATCTATATATATAAAAATGGTGCGAAAAATGTATAGTAATTCATCAATTGAGAACGGTTGGGCCGATTCGGCAAAATTTTTTTTTCAGTTGGTCGTAATTGCCAGGAGAAGGTTTTTACGAAAGAAAATTTTGGGAAAACCCTCCGGTGGACCAGGGACCGATCTATTCGAAAAAATCGTATTCATGTTCCGATTTGCTTAAAATTTGATACTTAGGTAGCTTTTTGCCTAGATTAGCACATAGGATGCTTTTTTCCGGGAAGTGGACCAGGGACCGATTTATTCGAAAAAATCGTATTTATCGTCCGATTTGCTTAAAATTTGGTGCGTAGGTAGGTTTTTGACCAGATTAGCATATAGGATATTTTTTCCCCGGGAAGTGGACCAGGGACCGATCTATTCGAAAAAATCGTAGTTATGGTCCGATTTGCTTAAAATTTGGTAGATTAGCATATAAGATTCTAGCAAGCCCAACTAAATCGGCGGCCGATAAAGTCCGTGGTGTGCGATGGATCTAAAACATTTGAAACAAGAAATATTGCAGTCACATATTCGTTTTTAAGATTTTTATTCATGTGATTAGTAGTGGCTAGAACGTATGTATGTATTAAATACATATATCTATATATATAAAAATGGTGTGAAAAATGTATAGTAATTCATCAATTGAGAACGGTTGGGCCGAAAATTGATTTTTTTGTATGGAATTTTTTGTGCAATTAGTTCGGGATGGCTTTCGAATGGTAAAATAGAAAATTCTGGAAAAGTCGGAAAAATCCAGAAGAACGAGAAATATTTGAATTTTTTCGACGAAATTTTGTATTTTATCGCATGATTTGATGATTTTGGACAATGCTAAGATGGAAAATTCGTTATGAAGCTTGGAAAATTTCGGGTAATTGTGATATTCATTGCGAACATGAATCAATTGGGAACAATTTTCTCCTCAATATGTTTCATAACCGATTCGAATGGTTGCTGCTTTTTTGGAAAGGTGTTTAGAAGGAATGCACAAAGTTTTAATTTTTTCGATATGTGCTGCAGGGGTCGAGCTACGCTAATGCATTTGGTACGTAGGTAGCCTTTTGCCTAAATTAGCATAATGGATCCATTTTTCCCGTTAAGTGGGCCAGGGACCGATCTATTCGAAAAAGTCTTATTTATGGTCCGCTTTGCTTGAAATTTGGCACGTAGGTAGCGTATGGTCCGGGTTAAAATATAGGATACTTTTTCTAATAGGTGGACCAGATACCGATCTATTGGAAAAAATGTTATTTATGGTAGGATTTGCTTGAAACTTGGCACGTAGGTAGCTTATTGTCAGGGTTAAAATATTGGATACTCTTTTTCTGATAGTTGCACAAGGGACCGATCTATTCCAAAAATTCTTATTTATGGTATGATTTGCTTGAAATTCGATACCCGTATTATAGATATGCGTAAAATAGAATTGAGTCATTGTTTTACAGTTCGAAAGGTGTTTGAAGGCGCCGCAAACATGCAGGTATTGGCTATTTAACAATAGTTATTACACACGCCACAAAAATAGAAACAAATTTGATGCAGCTAATGTTAACGCTATTTTTGACGTAAGCATAAAGTTTTAAGAAAAACAAGGTCAGTGTCAAAGAATAACGATTTTGTAATATCTAAGAAGCTCTAGCAAAGAAACACAGGGTGGTAGAACCTCCCACTTAGGCTTAGATTAAAGAAAGAAAATCTCTGCTACTATCCCTGCAAATTCCTGCACCTTTGCACTTATAGTTATTTGTTGAACAGGAAAAACTGATTTTGGGAAGTTTGAGTACCTACCGCAATTAAGAAAAATTCCACTTAGGCTTAAATTAAGGCTTGGACTTCTGACTTCAATCCCTGAAAATACCATTCCTGCACCTTGACCCTGCGGTCCTTGCTTTACGTTGACTAAACAGAATGTGGATCAATGATACTCACCAGTTTGGAAATTGCCACCAACCAGACTATACAGATTCAAGAACGATTCACTATCGAGCCTCAAGGATTTCTTCCCGGTATAACGCTTTCATCAGGTTATTTAAGACGGTAATGTAGG